TCAAGGGCACATGCCCAGGTTGCAGGCTCAATTCCCAGTAGGGGGTGTGCAGGAGGCACCCAATCAATGATTCTCTCTCATTATTGATGCTTCTATCTCTCCCTCTTCCTTCCTCTCTCTCTAAAAATCAATAAAAATATTTTAAAGAGAAAACAAAAAGGCAAGTCACTGATAGGGATAAAATATTTACAATCCATAGATCTCATAAAGGATTTTTAACCAGAATATAGAAAATTTCTTACAGCTCAATATAAAGATAACCCAAATAAAAATTGTACAAAAGATTTGCACAAGTGCTTCCCAAAAGAAGATACAAATGTCAAATAAACAAATGAAAAGATGCCCAACATCATCAGGGAAATGTATATTAAAACCACAATGAAAAACAGGGGGGTTGAGGGCATGGGGGGGGGGAATTGGGGGGGTGAAGACACATATGTAATACCTTAAACAATAAAGAAATTTTTTTAAAAAACACACAATGAGATACACTACACATCCACTAAAGTGACTCAAATAAAAAACAATGGCAATACCAAGCAATGGCAAGGAGATGGAGCAACTGAAACTTTTTAATACATTGTTGGTACGAAACAAATTGGAAAAATGTCAGTTTCTTCTACAGTCACATATATATTTACCATAAAACTCAGCAAATCCACCCCCAAGTAGTTAACCCAAGAGAAGTGAAAACATATCCACACACTAACTTGTAACACATACTAGTATACATAGCAGCTTTATTCATAACAGATCAAAACTCAAGATATTCATCAACAACCTAGATGTCCATCAATAATAGGAAAAGCTACAAATTGTGGTATATTCACACAACAGAATACTACGCCACAATAAAAAGGAACATATTGCTGACATGCACAGTAACATGGATAAATCTCAACATGGATGGTTCACAAAAGTATTATACTGAGCAAAAAATGTCAGACAAAAAGTACATACTGTATTTGAAATTCTAGATAAGTTCAATCTAATGTATAGTCACAGGGAACAGAACAGTACTGGTTGTTGGGGTGGAAGAGAATGACTGCAAATGAGCCCAAGAGAACTTTCTGGCGATGGAAATATTCTGTATCTTGATGGTAATGGTGATTGCATAGGCATTCACATGTCTAAACTCCTCAAACTGTTAAGTTTATAATGGGTGTGTTTTATTATATGTAAGAAAGTTGACCATGTTCACAGAGGATATCATGGTTCGTCTCACATTCTTTCCTTCCAATTAAAACTAAAGTCAACATTGTGGTCTATCACAATTCCAAGTCAGTAGACCTTTTAAATATCCTGAACAAATGTTTACATGTTACCTTGTAATTAACATTACCCATTTCAATAGAATTTCCATGGTTTACCACAAAAATCTAGAATTAGAAAAAATTTCCTAATTTGGTTTTTGTCTCGTGCTTACTTTGAAATATAATCTGCACTCATTTTTTGTTGGGGGTTAGGAGGGGGCATATAGTACCCATGCCCCCTCCTGACTTCTGAAACATTTGAGAGACAAAAGGAGTCAGGCAGGTGGGGAACCAGTATGGCGGACGTATTGCTGAAGAAGTCTAGGTTAAAGGA